CTCACACATTGCCATATTCAGCAACAAAGGCAGCTATGCTTGTTAGGACAACACTCTGCTTCAAGGCTACTCTGGCATTAGATTTGAAATCTTGGAAGCAATTACTAAGTTGATCAACACCAACATTACCCCGTGTTTGCCCCTCCGTGGCACGGTCACTGCCTCGGGTGATCTTGTCCCTTTGTCCTACATTGCTGGTTTGCTCACTGGCAGGCCTAACTCCAAGGCTGTTGGACCCAATGGTGAGAAGCTTAATGCTGAGGAAGCTTTCCACATGGCTGGTGTTAGTGATGGATTTTTCGAATTGCAGCCTAAGGAAGGACTTGCACTTGTGAATGGTACAGCAGTTGGTTCTGCTATGGCGTCGATTGTCCTATTTGACTCCAACATTCTTGCTGTTATGTCTGAAGTTTTATCAGCAATTTTCGCTGAAGTAATGAACGGAAAGCCAGAATTCACTGACTATTTGACACACAAGTTGAAGCATCACCCTGGTCAGATTGAGGCTGCTGCTATTATGGAACACATTTTGGATGGCAGCTCTTATGTCAAGGCAGCTCAGAAGCTCCATGAAATGGATCCTCTTCAAAAACCAAAGCAAGATCGTTATGCTCTTCGAACATCACCACAATGGCTTGGCCCTCAAATTGAAGTCATCCGTGCAGCAACTAAGATGATCGAGAGTGAGATTAACTCAGTGAACGACAATCCATTGATTGATGTATCAAGAAACAAGGCCTTGCATGGTGGCAACTTCCAGGGCACCCCTATTGGTGTCTCCATGGATAATACAAGATTGGCCCTTGCATCAATTGGAAAATTGATGTTTGCCCAATTCTCGGAGCTTGTCAACGACTATTACAATAATGGTTTGCCATCTAATCTCACAGCAGGAAGGATTCCAAGCTTGGACTATGGTTTCAAGGGAGCTGAAATCGCAATGGCTTCTTACTGCTCGGAACTTCAATTCTTGGCAAGTCCAGTGACTAACCACGTCCAAAGTGCCGAGCAACACAACCAAGATGTGAACTCTTTGGGCTTAATCTCAGCAAGGAAAACAGCTGAGGCTGTCGACATTTTGAAGCTAATGTCATCAACCTATCTTGTGGCTCTTTGCCAAGCTATAGACTTGAGGCATTTGGAGGAGAACTTGAAGATTGTTGTCAAGAACACTGTTAGCCAAGTAGCCAAAAAGACTTTGACAATGGGTGCTAATGGTGAACTTCATCCAGCAAGATTCTGCGAGAAGGAATTGTTACGAGTCGTGGACAGGGAATACATGTTTACCTATGCTGATGACCCCTGCAGCTCCACCTACCCTTTGATGCAGAAGCTGAGACAAGTCCTTGTTGATCATGCAATGAGGAATGGTGAAAGCGAGACGAATGTCAACAGCTCAATCTTCCAAAAGATTGGAGCTTTCGAGGACGAATTAAATGCTGTGTTGCCTAAAGAAGTTGAGAGTGCAAGAGCTGTTGTTGAAAATGGCAATCCTTCAATCCCTAACAGGATCACAGAATGCAGATCATATCCATTATACAGGTTTGTAAGGAAAGAAGTTGGAACAGAACTGTTGACAGGTGAAAAAGTTCGATCACCCGGGGAAGAAATAGATAAGGTGTTCACAGCATTTTGCAATGGACAAATCATTGATCCATTGTTGGAATGTCTCAAGAGCTGGAGTGGTGCTCCTCTTCCAATCTGCTAGATGTTTGTCAAGTGTTAATTTTTCAAATTCTTTGTTTACTAGAATCATAATAATGTTATGAACTTATATAATTTTTCTTCTTCTTTTGGACTGTTTGTAATATTGGCTCAACTAAGGTGCCAAGTCTATCCCAATATGAGAATCAGATCTTCTGACATAGAATATATAGATTAGTTGTCATGACATAAAAGAAGCTGTTGTAAGATTTCCAAATTCTATGGTCATTCAATTTCTACAACTTTAAAGGTCATAATTCATATCTTGTGTTTGTGATACTACAGTTTTGCTAAGAACAAACAGCTAAAAAAAATGACATATTTCTTAAATATGCAGCGGAATGGCCTAGGAGGCTCGTGTACACTCCCTACTAAAACTCAATATTTTAAACCCTTTTATAGCCCGGTCATCTCAAGCGGCATATATTGACCAAAGTGCATGTGATACATAGTCGAAGTTCTGTAAGCAATTACAAATGTTATTTTTAATTATATGATCATTTTCATAAATGATTAATAATAAAAAAAACATTTTAATTATATGATCATTTTCATAAAAGATTAATTAAAAAAACACAAGAGATCATTGACTATATATTGATGGATACATTTGACAAAAATGTTCTTTCGTGGACATTCGATAAAGTTGAAACTAGAGATAAATATGCTTGCAATAAGAGATACGAATCAAGAGAAACAGAGTTGTACTCATATTATTTTAATAAAATATTTTTATTTCTTCATATTTTTTACTGATTGCAATTTATTTTCAATCACTTTACATTTTATTACAAACAACTATTTTTTGGGTGGCGGAGGAAGGGCCCAGGGAGGAAGCACTGGTCCATAGTACGGAGGAACCATGGTGGGTTCTCCCCGACCTCGTGACCTACCAAAGGGTTGTGACTTGTGATAAATACTTATTTTCTTCTTAAATAATTGAATTTTATTCTAATTACCTTTCATATTTTAGGTTGATTATTAAAGACAAATTCTATTACGTTTGGTGAAATGAATGGTATCAACAAGTTTCTATTTTTAAAAATTGGTAGCATTTTGTTGTCACATACCACTCGTTTGTAAATACATGTAATGTGGACATTATTCTTCTATTCAACTATACGTGGACTTTGATGTCAAGGGCACAATAATGGATTAAGGTTGTTAAATTTTTTATACTTTTTTAGCTGTATGATCCTTTTAATAGGAGATCAATAAAAAATAACACATGAAACTTGTAAATAAAATAGGGAAAAGGGTCTCATATACTCCTCAACTTTACCATTTAGAGCAGATATACCCCTCATTATGAAAGTGACTCATATATATCCCTATTTAGAGTCGTAAAAAGGATCGGTCCAGTCCCACCCGGCTCAAGCCTCGCAGGCCAAGGAATTTGAAGGGCTAGGGCAGATCGACCCTTCATTTAGAAGGGCCTGAAAATGCTCAACCCAACCCAACCAAAGAAGGGCCGAGGCTTGGGTGGGTTAGCCCTTCTTTTATTTTTTTCATTTCAAACTTAAAATTCTATAACATCAAGAAAATGAGAAGATTTTCAAATCAAATATGGCAAACAATGATGTTCTTTTAATAATACCAGCAAAAATCTAGTTTAATTAGCATTATATAGATACTAGATATGCGAGGTGTGATGCATCACAGATACGCGAGCGACATAATAGAGTGGCAAGCGATATGAGAGGGAGGCTAGGGCGTGGAATTTGTCTATGTATCATAGATACATGTGAATACACTAGGATATAGTGTATCTAGAACAAATTAACCTAATTTTGAGTCCATGTATCCCGAGATACATGTATTTGGACGTACCAAAATCTGGTAAGATTTATAATATTACAATTACATAGCGTTCATTTAAGTAATTAGCTCATATACTAGTGAGATTGTTGTAAGTTACCCTTAAATAAATAGTTTTGACTCATGGGCCGATCTCGACCCGGCTACTATCAAGCCTCAAGGGCCAAGGATTTATTAGGATCGGGCTTATAAGCCCTAGTTTTAAATGAGTTTGAAATTTTTTATCCCAATCTTACCCCAATAACGGGTTGGGTTGGGCAGCCCCATGGGCTAAGCCCATTTTGACGGCTCTACACCTACTACTATACAAATGACACACATATATCATTTTCCTCTAACATGAGAGAAAGATTAATTTTCATTTAATTTTTTTTAAGAAAAATATAATCCATATGAGGTATATTTGATCCTCCTCACACACATTTATTTTCTTTTACTTTTTTGTTTCGACGATTAATTTAAATTTATTATTTTTATGGTCAAATTTATTTATGTTTCACTCATTTTTTTGTAAAATTTATTACAGATGCCCCATTTTTTTTTTTCAAATACAAAAACTAAATTACAATATAGCAAAAAAAATAGTTTTAAATTATAATATAGCCACAAAAAAATTAGTTTTAATTTTTTTTTCTTTATACTAAAGAATGAAAAAAAAATAAGAATAAGAAACTCAAATAATGATAATCAAAGAAGTAAAAGAATAATAATTTATGTATGAAAAAGATTAAAATATATCTTACACTTTGCTAAATGGATCATATAACCCCTACATGAATTTTTTTTTAAAATTAAAAGTTAAAAATATAAATTTAACAATATTTCCACTTTTGTAAGATGAAAGGCATATGTGAGCTCATTTTTTAATGGTGGAGATATCAAACTTCTACTATCCACAAATAGCTGGTCATAAGAGTTGTTGTCAATTCACTTAAAGCATGTAACTAAATTTAAAACAATAATTTAATATGCTCAATATCAAGTTAGGCCTAATAAAAGTCGCACACTCTAATTTGAATAATCATTTTCTTCAAATTAACTATGTTCAATCACTAAAATAAAGTTGTTTTGACTAATTCGACAACCACAATCAATAGAGTATTGAGCTTAGGGTTATCCGGTCAATTGACATGTTTGTTCTTCTCCTTCAACTTTCTCTATTTCTCCTTAGTATGTATTCGTTTTAATTTATTTGTCTTATTTTTTTTTTATATGTTATGTATTTATAAAAATAGTACTAAAATTTAACTTGAAATATTAAAAATTTGGTTAGCTCTCGAATTTTTTGATTGCAGCAATAACTAAAAGCAGCAGGATATATTATATTCAAAATAGATCAAAATGGTACATATATTATTTCTTACACACAGCTTGTTAAACTATATGACTCTGAACAACATAAAACAACGCTCCATTAGGCAATAGTACTAGTCTTATTTGCTGCATCCTGCTACCATGCATAAGTTACCTCATAAATCTTACTGCACCCTGCAACATTAAAAAAGAACTCAAAAATAAATAAATTAAGAGCATACTTTTTCCGTCCAACAATATTTGTTCATTATATTAAAAAAAGATATCCAACAATACTTGTCCATTTTATGAAATTAATGGATAAGTTTACACTTACGGACCGTTTAGTTACTGGTTAGAGTTATGCGGGTATTAGTTATGCAGGTTATGCGGGGTATGCAGGTATTAGTTATGCATGTATTAGTTATGCAGGTATTAGTTATGCAGGGTTTAGTTATGCAGATATTAGTTATGCAGGGTTTAGTTATGCATGTATTAGTTATGCAGGGTTTAGTTACATTGGGTTTAATCATGCGGGTATTAGCTATACGGATATTAATTATGTAGGTATTATTTAGTTATGTAGAGATTATAATACATGAATTATTAACTATTGAATATTAAAATTGTTGTAAATTATTAATATATATTATTTACAAAATAATAATACATGCTAATAAAATGTGGAATATATTGAATAATATGTAATGCTAATATTTTGATTAGCATATGTATCGTCAAAACATATACAATCAAATTTCTAATATTAAAAAAAAATTATATTTGCATAAATAAATAAAAACGGTAAGTATATAAAAAGAAATGAAAATGGTCTATATATAAAAAGAAATAAAAACAACAAACGTAAATAGGAAAACAGTAAAGTTTCCAATTAAAAAAAATAAAATAAATTAAAAGAAATGAAAATGGTCTATATATAAAAAGAAATAAAAACAACAAACGTATATATGAAAACAATAAAGTTTCCAATTAAAAAAAAAAGAATTAATAGGGTAAATATGTAATTTATCATTTTAATACATGTATAATTAATACATACATAACTTATTCCACCTTCTATCCTATATAACTTTATATATAGATTCCCTCAAAAGTTATGTTGGTATTAATTATGTAGGACAACAAAAAATGCAACCAAACACCGTATAAATTAATACATGAATAACTTTTATATAACATTTAAATTCTACCAACCAAACATGGTATAAGTTATATTGACTTTTATACCTAATACAAAACTTCTACCAAACATAGTAAAGCTAATGCAATTTTTAATACATGAATAAGATGTCTCTTATACAGTAACCAAACGATCCCTTAGTTCCTAATTTACTCTTATCATTAATTATGGTCATTTCCCTATTACATTTTCCACGACATATATATATATATGAGAGACTGGGTATTTAAGAAATTACTTTGGGTTTGGGTATGAACTTGTAATTTTTTTAAAATATTATGGTCCATTTATGTAGTCCCCCTATATTAAATTTTTTTAAATTGTTCAAGAGTATTTTTGGCTCTTTTCTGAAAAAGACTTTTGAATATTATGGTCTTAAATTAAAGATATACCAAATGTATTAAAATGTTATTTTATCTTTTGGTCTTAAGCATGTCAGGTAAAAAAAAAAGAGAAAAAACATTATTATTTTTCAAAAAAAAGTAAAACAAACAAATTGAAAGAGAAAGAAGTAGGTACGGTACATACGTGGAGCAGTCAATGGAAGGGCTAATTTTATAGGGAAGATTGACACCACATTTGGTAGGGAGAGTAGCAGCAAGATCGAGGTTGATGTTGCTGATGGTTGCAGCAGTAGATTTAATACCATTACACGCCGCTTGACGATCAGGAGTAGTGGCAGCTTCGCCATTGAGGGTCTTAATTCCACTACAGCATGATGTTGGAAGAACACCACCTTCCCTCACGTATTCAATGCTCAGCCTCTCAACAACCTGCCCACAAGAGATGATTGCTTCTGCATTGGGAGCTAACATCACACCTACTGCTGCAATGCACATAACCACCAACAATGCTACCTTCACCATTTTTACTATAAAATATGTATATTTATTTGGACTATAAAAGGGTACTTTGTTTTCTTGCTTGGTGTGTATGATAAAAGTTGTGAAAGAGCTCTTTATATGGAGTTTGTTACTAAGTACACCCTTTGTTTCTATTTATATGTCACCATTTTAGGTTTTTACGTCGCTTAAGAAACTAGGTATGTTTACTATTGTAACTTTAGGAAAAATTTTTTGGCCAGAAAGGTATTTTATCTATGTTATTTTACTTTTTTGAACATTTTTACCCTTTTAACTTTAATACATTTTAACTAAAAAGTGGAAAAAGATCAGTTTATTTTAAAATAAAATAAAAATATGATAGACTTTTTAAAATTCTGGCCAAATTTTCTAGTCATTTAACATTACCCGCAACTTTATTTAGTGATCTCTTGAATCAAATTTTCAATAAATGAACATAAATAATTAATTTATTTTGATTAATAAACATTAATTAATCATTTAGTTTTTCTATGTTGGTTAAATTCATACTTTCAAGGGTAAAATACTCTCTTTGGTCCCTAATTACTTGTCCACTTTTGAATTGATACAGATATTAAGAAAACAATGATTGACATGGTGAGTTTACCATTTTACCTTATTAATTATGAAGTCGATGAATAAAATATTTAAGACTTTCAAGAAGTTCTACCTTTTTCAAAATTAATCAATTGAGGGTATAATAGGTAAAAAAAAATTCCTTTATTGATTTGTTAAAATGCATAAGTAAAAAAGGAAAATTAAACAAGTAATTAGGGACAGATGGAGTATGAAGAATAATGTCATTTATGCATTAATTTTGTGAAATGACAAGTATTAGGGAACATTTATTTTTAATAAAGACGGCATATAAATAGGAACGGAAAATACTATTCGGATCAAGGTAGGGCTAGAGTTAGTTAGTTAGGTGTAAGCATAGCTAGGTATAGTTGGTAGTTGGGCACAATTCAATGCTTTATTCGTGATGTTTCCTGATCTTACTGAATTTAAGTTTGATGTAATTTGTTAAAGTTCCAGCGAGTAATATGTTAACAAGTTTGAAGTTTTTATTAGTCCCTCCCATGGTTTATTAAGGAACTAAAAAGTGAAATTATTACTAGTTCTTTCGTTTCAATTTAAGTGTCTAAATTTAAGAAATAAATAAGGACTTTGAAATCTTATTGTCTTAAAATATAATTGAGTTTGGTTCTATAAATCTTGTTGTCTTATCATGTAAATTGTTCAAATTGAAAATTTTACTAACTATAAAAAAAGACTCTTTTGGGATGGACCAAAAACAAAAGTACTCCTTTTGTCCCTTATTACTTGTCCACTTTTGAATTGACACATCTATTAAGAAAACAATAATTGATATCAGTGTTTTAAAAGGCGGGGGAGTGAGGCGAGACGTTTTATACAGTACAAGGCGAGACGTAAGCCCCGAGACATGGGGCGTAAGTCCCATGGATCTACCGGGCGTAGTGTCATGTACATTCAATTTTATAGTTTATTACTAATAAAATAAGTAAAAGTAAACCTTTCAATGATTTATGATTTTAATTTGAGATAAGTATTAGTAATCAATAATGAAGAAAAAAAAGTATTATAATTACTATTTGAGAAATATCATTTCACCAATAATAAAAATATGATTTAAAGCAAAAAAAGTTCAAAAAAATAAATAAAAAACCCCCGGGCGTACGTTTTTACTCCTAGGACTTACATTTTTATGCTCGGAGCTTACGCCTCAAATTTTAGGACCTACATCTTATGGATCAACGTTTTTTATTTACGCCCTGGAGCATTTTTGGTACGCCCCACCCCGAGACTCGCCCTGGAACTCGCCCCAAAAACGTTTTTGAAAACACTGATTGCTATAGTGAGTATATCATTTTATCCCTATTTAAAATGAAGTAGATGAATTAAAAATTTAAGATTTTTAAGAAGTTCGATATTTTTCAAAATAATTAATTGAGGGTATAATATGTAAAAAAATGTCCTTTCTTGATTTGTCAAAATAGACAAGTAATTAGGGACAACTAAAATAGAAAAAGCGGACAAGTAATTAGGGATAGAGAGAGTATGAAACTTAAATTGGTACTGAGAGAGTACCTTATATTAGGGGTGACAAACTTATATTAGGGGTGACAAAATGAGTAAATTATGTGGCTATCCAATCACTTAAAAGTGTGTCAAACATGAATCAACTCATATTATCTATCATAAAATATAAATAACCATTCGTATCCATGCTAATTGCAGGGACCTCAAAAAAGTATATTTATTAAGTGTGTATTTAGTATAAAAATTATTTTTTAAAATTCTCATATTTGGTTGACATGTTTTGAAAAATATTTTTTAAATGAACTAATTTTCCTCTAATTTAATAAAGATGACTTTCATACATAGATTTTAAGATCGGGTGAAAGTGGAGGTTGATTTATTGAAATAATTGCCAGAGAGAATTCACATCAGTTGCATCAATAAGGATATCATAAAAGTGCATGCGAAGTAAAGAATAATTTAATATGACAATCTTCCGAAATATTGTACCCATTGTAAATTTCAGAGATACGATATACATAAAAGCTGGGTGGTTCATCCGGATTATAGACCCAAAAAAGAGGAAAAATACACAAATCCTGAAGTTGCACCTGAAGAGCCACAAAAAAATATATAGAGGATGTTAGAAAACCGAACACCAAAAGGCAAAGGAATAAATATCGGTGGGAATAAAAAAAAAAGGAGAAAAATGTGGTGGTTAACAAGAAGAAAAATAATAACACATAGGTAACAAAAAGAAGAATACAACAAGAACAAATCACCATATAGAGAAACAAAAAGTAATAGTTACTAATAATAACTTTAACGCACTAACTAATGAGGCGCACGAGAAATCCTTGGAGCATATAACAATTGGGTAGAAATATCTTTTGGCAAACGATAAAAGAAAATAGGGGAATCCAATAACTCACACAAAGATGGGTGCAACACAAGTGATAAAGACAACAACATGGGTGGTGATGAAAAAGCTAGCATCCCAAGTGAACCAATTAAAAAAATGAGAAAGGCAAGGAACATAGCATCAAAACAACAGAACAACAGAACAATTGGATACTCAAGAAATAGATCAACATAATAAGGACAAATATAGTGGCAATGACAACAATAACAACCAATTATAAAAAAAAGTAAAAAAAGAACATAGTAATAATCAGGCATCTATAAGTTCCTCAATACAAATCAGGTTCAGAAAGGTAAGAAAAATAAAGGTTGCGGAGTTTCTGGTTTTATGGACACTATTTATAAGTCGTAGAAGGAACCATGAGTCGTAGATGAGTCCCGTAGATAAGACTTCAGACATCATGAAAGTTGTACTTGAACCGGGTGAGTGGTAATGTACAGGTCGTGGATAGGCCTCGTAGACCAAGACCTGAAGCCTCATAACTTCAGAACCAGATTATCTTTTACGAGCCAACAATACGAGTTGTACTATGAATAATGGATCATAGTTAACGTCTTGTAGATCATTCTTCAGAAACTTTGTAATTTTAGGGTTTTGTTTTCTATAAATGGTTAGTACAGATCGTAAAAAATTATTTCATAGTTCAATATTCAGAAACTCAGGATTTTCCTCTAAGTTCTACGAATAGGGTTCTATGATCTGTAGATAGAACCACGGACAGTAGATGTCCCTCATAGAGTTCTTTCGGTAGATTTTAATTAGGATTATTTGGATCTTTTTCCACTTTTTTTATTCTTAAACTATGTCATTTTGGCCTATTCTAAGTGGGATTTAAGGGTCCTTATACGCCTAAACCGTATCATTCACTCATAACCCTCTCAAAACTATTTTTATTTCTCTCTCAAGTCTTCTCCCTCGAGCAAGTTAGGGTTCCAAAACTTCAAGTCTCCATTGAAGAACTGAAGCTACGATTTCCAATTCAGGTATGTGGAAACCTCATCGATTGGTTCCTTTTCACTTATTGAGTCCCAAAGAAACCTCAATTTCTCAAGTTATGATTTCTTCAAAAACTAGGACTTCTATAATTTTCATGGATTCTTATTGAAATTATGTTTCTTTTTCATCATTAGTATTCAATTGCATGAGTTTGATTATAATTCAATATTTTTATGAACACATAGCATGCATGTACTTTCATGATCAGAATTATGCTGATTTCATATGTATGTCTCAGATTATCAGATTTTCATGAATTATGATGTTTTTGAATAAAGTATTTCTCACTATATTTTCCAGATATTATGTTTTAGATGCTTTCACATAAAATATCTTTAGATTGTGTTCAGTTATCTTGATCTATGAGATACTCAGTATGTATCATTTATCAATATGAGTTAGTAGTATTATATTATTACTATTATGCATGTGCTGTTGGGAGTAATCTTAGCACCGAATGGACTTTAGGAATGAAGATTTTCGTTTAGTGTTCATGGATCTTTAATAACAATTTCTTAGTCCAATAATTATGTACCACCATAGGACTTGTCTTTATAGACTTTAGCTAGTGGATTCACCTTAGCTCAAATATCAGGTCCCTTAATTTGGCAAGTATTGGACACTCTCTTTTTGGTGTTGGAGCAATAAACTGAACTTTATGTAATAGCTCACATGATTTATGCCAGTTTTAGTATCTCCCACAATCAGACTTTTAGATATTGCATAACCTTGTATATATGCATTTATATCTCAGTTACATGTAATTTTACTCGGTCATTAAATCATCATGTTTTACAAATTTAGCATGTTCATATATCATGTTATCTATGTATATTTCTCCATACTCAATATATTTGAAGTACTAACCATATACTTTTTGCCTATATTATTAGATAATATATGTATTGAAGCTCCTCATTTAGCCCTTTCTCTCGAGATCTTTCTTTTATTTAAGTCATTGATCTCATATCTATAAGCAAGGGGTCTGCGTTTACTATTAAGCCTATGTATGTCCATTCCTTTCAAGCTTGATCCTTCCGCGAGT